CGAGTTTCACGATCTGAGACTTGCGCCAAAGGCCCGGTTAATGGCCCCCCTGGCCCGAAAAGAGATCTGCATTGTAGCAATCCTGGGAAAGTGGGCAGAATGGAACTTACTTCCCCTCACCTGGTTTGATCCATGTAAGCTCCAGCACATCAAAACTAGGTGAGAGACCCTCCGGCTCTGAGCTTGTGAGGAGTTTTCCACAACGTAGTCAATGCAGTGGAGACTCAGTTTCAACCAGTCTGAATGAACCAGGGGGTTGAAAAGCAAGACTATATTTGCTCATGTTCTTCAAACACCACTGGTCAGCCACAGTGCAATATCAGTGGTGCCCCGAGGCGAAGCAAGAGTTGCGACGCACGAGCGCTCAAGGAGAGGGCGGAGACTCGCTGGGACCGGGTCATGGCAAAACCAATTGCCTTCACCACAAAACCTTTCAAAGAGCTGCGTTTTTTTTGATCATCACACATGGTTTGACAAAAAAACATGCATGTCCCCACATCACAGTTCTTGCAATATGCACAATGAAACGAAACCATTCTGCATGCTTTCAGATGCTTTCAGTATTCTTTTTTCCATCCCCTCTGGTGTGTGTGTGTGTCCTGGACAAGGCAGGTTCACAACGGCCAAAAGAAGCAAGGCTATCGCTAGCTGGGGTATGAGTACCATTGCACCCCAAAAGCTGAACACACGGTGTTCCATCATTTGGAGCTGCAACCAATGCAACAAACACACAAAAACTGCAACAGCAATGGCTCAATCCCTCTATGCCAGCGAGTCCCTGCTAAGGCTAATCGGCTAAGAATAACTAGATGGACCTGTCGCATTCTTCCTCCACCTCAAAGTGGAGCCACCCAGCCAACTTCTTGGCCAAGATCCACCTAGGCTCAAGGTCAAGCTATGTTAGACCAGAAGTTGAATCTGCAAGTAACTAATCTTGCTTTGATGGAGTCAACACTGGAAGTAGGATTGTGGCCCATCAACGATCCCATGCTTGTTCCAGGAAACGCTGACACCCTTCTTCACATTTCCCTGAGATGTCATAGCCAAGCGTGGGAAACAGCAACAACCAACTTTGAAGATGCACTGCGCTTATATGACTTGTTAAATGGTTGTGCAATCCAAGCACATTGAACTGTAGCTGCAGCACACGGTTCATGTTGATCACACGCTCTTTGGGAACATTGTTGACGAAGAAGGTCCGAGTGTGCAGCCTAGGATCACACGAAAAACTGGGCCCAGGGTTTTCAACATCAGTGAGATTCTGTTCATGTGCAAAAAACAAAGCTGCAACTCACTGTAAGTGCATTGCTGGATCCCAATAGTGCTGCCACCGTCGATGTTTTCCGGAGGCCCCAAGGTGTAGGTCCTTGTCTCATTGAGCAAGGTAACAGGGTGTATATGGGGGATATCAATCTCAGGACTTAGTTCCCTACTTCCGCGGATAGTGTACCGGCTCTCCCGCTTCAAACGCCACGAGTGCCCCAACAACATCCTGTGGGCAACCAAAGGTCACGTCGCGCGTAGCAACCAGCTTGGAAAGATCTTCAAGGGATTTGTCCTCAGGCGGATTCAATTGCATGACCCAAGCAATGGAAGAACAACATGCAAAGCACACTTTGGTGACAGACCGAATCCATGAGTCTTAAGGCAAGAGGATTTTGCAAAAAGGATTTAGGTTTTAGAACTTAACAGGTTGCGGTGTTGCCCCTCCCCCCCCGCAAAGTTGATAGCCGAGTGTCCGTGACTTCCTGAACTCTCTTTGTCTTTGCTGCCTTCTTTCCATCCTCCTCTCTCTCCACTTCAGGCTTTTCATCGCTCACCTGCTCAAAGTTCAATTTCCTCTTCACTTTGTCAGAACCATCCCTTGCCTTCTTTTGCTCTACCACCCGCTTGGCAGCCTTGTAGGACAACTTCATCGGGCTTTCCTTGGTCTCCTGCGCTTCACTTTTTTGCTGTTTTTTTTCCTTTGGTGCCTCCAGTCTTGCGTTCGAAGGTGTCCTCTTTGTCATCTGCACCTTTTCCTGTGCCCTTCTTCCTCCCTTTTTCTTTTGCTTCGGCCGGAGTCCTCTCCCTTTCTTGATCATGTCCTTGCTCCTGTGCTTCATCATCACCTTTTTCAACATCTTTCTTTGCCTTTCCTCTTCCTCTGCCCCTTCCTCGTCCTCGCCCTTTGCTTTTCTTTTTCTCCTCTGATTCCTCTTCGGCTTCACGAAGCATCTTGTCATCGTCATCGCCTGAGCCCTCACCTTCTTCCTCCTCTGCTAGCTTCACCTTTTTCATCTTTCTTTGCGCTGCCACTATGTCATCGTTTGTGGTCCAGCTGAGGGTTTTGTGGATGTTGCCCAGGGATGCCATGATCACCTCAGTCTTTTTCTTTTGTTCCTCACTTGCCTCAGCTTCATTTGGGATCAGAGGTCTCCCACGGTCATCCATGGTGGCTGCTGCTTCCTCATCACTGCTTTGCAACATAATCGCAGTTTCCCCTTCCTTCTTCTCAACCTCCTCTTTAGATTCCTGGGGCGCTTTCGTCTTTCGCTTCTTCATCTCCTCATTCCCTTTCTTTTCATTGTTGTCCTTCGCTCCGACCTCACCTTCTTTCTTTCGCTTCTTCACATCCTCCTTCGTCTGGAGGGCCACAGCTCCAACAACCTTTGCAGCCTCAATCGCTTCAGCATTCTTCTTTGCTTTTTTTTGCGCTTTCCTCCTCAGCGTCGGCCTGATTCTTCTTGCTCTTAAAGCGTTCCCAGTACTGTTTGCGCTTTTCCTTCCGCATTTTGCTCACTTCGTCTTCATCCTCCTCCTCATCCTCTTCCTTGTCATCCTCCTCCTTCATTGACACCTCTTCGGCCTCCTTCTCTTCTTCAACCTTCGTTGTCTTCTTCTTTGGTTCTTTTGTCTTCTTCGGAGGATCTTCTCCATTCTTCTCTTCAGGTTCCTGCGGTGGTGTTTTTTTTCTTCTTTGGCTTCATCTCTTCACTGTCTTCTTTCTTTTCC